ACTGGAAATGCTGGAAGGCCAACATTAAAAAGTACAAAATTGGTCTTGGGGTTTGCTGCAACATGGCACCTTAGCAGCAGGCAGGCCGGGACCCAACGGTTACCTGGACCTAGACCGGCTGTAGCTGGACCTGCTGGAGAACCTACAGTATTAAAGAGGGCCAAACTGCCTTTGAGGTTTGCTGCAATATGGCACCTTAGCAGCAGGCAGGCCGGGACCCAACGGTTACCTGGACCTAGACCGGCTGTAGCTGGACCTGCTGGAGAACCTACAGTATTAAAGAGGGCCAAACTGCCTTTGAGGTTTGCTGCAATATGGCACCTTAGCAGCAGGCAGGCCGGGACCCAACGGTTACCTGGACCTAGACCGGCTGTAGCTGGACCTGCTGGAGGACCTAGAGCGAGAGGACCTGGAGGAACGGGAGCTCGAAGACGATGCGCGTGAGCTCCGAGAGGCCGAGCGGCCCCGGTCCCAGGAGGCATCAAGTAGCTTTTTGGCATCCTTAGCTGAATCATCGTCATCCCCATCTAGATCATACTTTGACAAATCTCCATCGTCATCATCATCATCGTCGTCGTCCTAAACACAGGAAAAACAAATGACGAAACAATACAACTGTCAATGCTAGACACAATGCAATGAATTCAACGTAAACTGCCTCCTACTTACAGAGGTGGCTACGATAAAATCACTCCTTAACCTTTAGTCTTAAATCCTGTCATCTCAATGTGATAAGGGACGTTTCTAAAAACCTTAGCTGCCCATACCGATAGCAGGCAGTGAAGGAGTGGTCAATCAGCGCAGTTACAAAACTGTGGGGAGTCACATTTTCTGCAAAGGGGCTTTACAAAATTGGACCACGTTCTCCATGCTTACGTCAGAGTCCAGCTTATAGGCATCCAGATCAGCATCATCTCCACTCTCCTCTTCATCTTCCACTTTCTCTTTACCCTCGGCAGCTGCTGGTTTAGGCGGAACGGTGCCCCGGAACTTTTTCTTCTTTCTTCCAAACTGAAAGAACAGGACAGAGGAGCCGAGTGTTACTCGCTTCAACATGAGTACACTCCTGAGCACATGAACAGAAGGAGTACGACCCACAGGTATCACAGGTCTCGATCAGACTGGGAGGCTACAGGTATTTCGTGATTAATTCTAAAGATGAACAATGAAATTGGAGTAGGATATGAGCCTGTAACCTCCTAAGAACTTTACCGGTGCCCTACCAACTGAGCATTTCAGCCCTTATGTTGACAATTCTTCCCAATGGTCAATAACTTTGGCTCTGAAGCCACAGAACCTGAAACACCATATAGCCAGGGATTACTCCCTAAATACACAATGTAACCTGGGAAGTGGTGAAAGGAGGATAGCCCAGGAGGATAGGCTTTTTTTAAGCACAAATCAAACAACAAACTGTAAAGGTGAGGAGAAACTGACTAGGTGCTTACATATTAATTAAGGTGAACAAAGAAATTGACGGGAGCAGGATTTGAACCTGCTATGTCCGGAATACCATACCAGGGCACAACCAACTGAGCTATCCAACCCTACGTTGGTCGATCTTCCCATTTGTCACTATCTTTGCTCAGGGGACGCTAGTCAGAAGCCATAGAACCTAAAACACCATACAGCCAGGGATAAGGCCCCAAATACACGATGCAACTGGGAAGTAGTGAATGAGGATTGACTACGAGGACGGGGCTTTTTTCAAACACAAATCGTCAAGCAGGGGAACTGACTACATGTTGTTGCTTCAATGATTATGAAGAAGAACAAAGACATTGAAGCGATATTTGAACCTGTGACCTCCAGAACACTGTACCAACTGCGCTACCCAATTCTACACTATTTTTACATGACAGTCAGGTACCTGTGTTGCACTGCAATACACAAGTAATGTACTAGTACCATTTTCCTGCACCCACAAGCATCAAAAGCGACACATGAATGCAGCCATGGTGAGTTGGCCCATTCAAAGAAACAGGCCCTGAGGTAGGACATCCTCATCGCTGCCATGCACACAAAGTATCATGTAGACTGCAGACGCATCCACTAACTGCACTAACCTGTAGCCTGGGTACTAGCCAGGTGACAGCGTGGTTCCTGGAGTGCCCAACTGGAAAACAGCAAGGAGCGGGGCTGAAATTTGATGGTGCGCGAGCCAGTCAAGATTTGGCTCTCAATCACGACTATGTACTAGGTACTGGTATGTTAAGTAAGACAAGACAGACTCTCATAGAAACCCTGATGGTCCAGCAGGTGTGAGACTGAGGACAGTTAGGGTTAACTGTACTCAACCTGTAACTTTGACTTGGTTATCTCAGACAATACTCCAAGCCTCAAATTGATGAACACAGCTTTCCTAACTTTAGACCATAAGTGCCTTAAAAGTAACATCCCCTCGTTTGCAGGGCAAGAGATGAAAAGTCACAGCTGCAAGCATGAGGTGGATCAAATACTTCCATATTATCTTCCATCCCTGTCAATCGTGCTCGAAAGTAACACATGCTCCTTGGGGGAAATTTGCTGGGTGATCAAGATGTCACATCATCGAGGCATTTCTACTTACGTCATCAAATTCCCCATCCGAATCCTCTTGGCCCGATTTGTATTCGACGCCCTCCCTCTCGTTGTAACCACCTCCATAACCTGCAAGCGGTTTGGACAAATCAACCATGTTCAGGGGGGTCCAGTCGACTTTTTTCTTAGATGCACGTTTTGCATATCTTCACATTCTCCTTCAAACTGAACTAGCCTTTTAGAAGCTTGGCGGACACTATATGAGGTCGCTATTTGAATTTAGGTAAATTTGGAGTAAACGCAAAAGATTTTACCCAAACCAAATAACGTCTTCCTATTGTTTCCACCCTACCTCAAATAGTCGAAAGGCAGCCTTTTGAGTGAAGAGAATTGATAAGTGCACTTTTTAAAAATACGTCAAATTCGTTCATGCTTTTCCATGCGACAGAGGGCGCTGTTGCTGTGATGTCAATCAGGGTAAACGCGGCTCTGTTTACAGGCTTTTCTGTTCACATTGCTGAATCCACAATTTGCTCACTGAGCACATTGCTGAGAAAGGGTTGCTGATTGGCTTGTTGCAATGTGCTCAGGTCATAGTGTACCATCAAAGAAAATGAAATTTAGAGCAACAAACTATTAGGAAATCTAGCAGGTTTGGGTTTTTTTTTGGTGCACAAATCAAGCCCGGCAACACTGAGGTTTTCTCCCTGGAATGAATGACATCACAGTTTCGCTCGTGGATGTAGAAATTTGCCCTAGCTTTGGGGGGACGATGGACCGATCGAGAGCTGTTTATTGACCGATTCTGTTTGCCACGCCCACTACGCACCAGGGCTGACATCATTATTAATTTCGCTCTATTTCATGAATAAACTCCATAATCCAGAAATATGCAGATCACAAGCACACTTAGGCAAAATTTAAACCAATAGAGTGGTAGAAGCAAGACACATGAGGATCAATGTAATGTGCATATAATATGCAAATGCACACAGCAGACTTATGTTCACTCATGTCAGGCATACTGTCAACAGCAGCTGCGATTGTTTGAAAGACCATGGGGTGGGGTGGGGTGTGATGGATTGGCCCATTCCTTTGTTAGGAAGGGCAGAGCTGTGGGGACAAAAAGTTGTGTCCCTCATGAGTGACGGCCCCGAGAGGGAAATACATGTAGCACACCTGTTCTTGCTTCCACTTTTCCAAACTTGGGCGTCTTGCACAGGTTGCAATCTGTCCGCCGGGCCCAGTTCACATTGCCGCACCTACACATGGCAAAGAAGAGAGATTAACTTGATATCACTCATGGTAAAGTTCAGAGGTCAGCAACAGTTGAAGGTTCAAAGGCCAGCCATTTCACAAACATGGAGCCTGGTCAATCAACTGCTTACTCGCTCCCATTACACTGAACTTTTGTGAAAGTTATAAAACTCCAGAACAACCGAACCGACATTATGCCCATTCTTTCTAGAGGATATGAAGGATTGAAGGAATTGGCATTCAATGAAAATTCAACATGCCAAGTGCATGTAAATCACAACAGAAGACTGGCTGAGGTCCCTGGCTCTGAGCCAAGGCCACTTAGAACCACGGTATGTATGTTGACAACTGACACATTCACAGGAGCTGTAGACCTACAGTCATGTCTGAGTCATTGCTAACTTTCTACAACCTCACAGCAATTAAGCATTTCAAGGAAGCTAAACACAATCTCAATGCATACGAGTCTTTCCACTACGAGTAGCTGCACATGGGCATGAATGTGCATAAAATGGCCCGTACTGTGCCCAGAGTTATACATTTACTGCTCCCACAGGTTAGTTAATGCCCATTTCTGGCTGCATTACGTTTTGCACTGCCAGTCGTCAGCACTGAAGAGCCCTTTACTCTTTTCTGCCAGTTGCTTGCCGATGGCCGAGCCTCCGGCTTTGATGGTGATGTGGCTCTTATCTGCAAGTGTCAAAAAAAGACATTCACCTGATATCCAATGCCACTAAAGTGTTCCAATTTCCTGGCAGAGGTCAACAATTTGCCTAGTCTTGGTACAAGACGTTCTTGGCGGGGTTTTCACACTGCACAACTCCCCGGCAGGCCCGCCACATAGAGATAAATATTGTATAAAGCTAGAGTGCTGATTCATATACAAAGTGATGTCTGCTGGGTGCATCCAGGTTTGTGCACAAACCTATGGAAAACTCAAAATTTTGTATGGCTTTGTATGGCTATTTGCGTATCTGCGTCTGTATTCCAAAATAATGCATTTACAAAGCCGATATGCAAAAATATCACCACACACAATCAGTAAATGAGCATATCATTCTACTCTGCATAAACAATGCAAACGTGGGCGCGTATGCGCCGCTGCATCTAATTTTGTGGTAACTTTTTTTAATCGGATTTTATCAGTACCCAATATGCACTGCATCGAGAATACATAATTCTGTAGTGCTGTGGCCGGTCGGGTGGGGTAGAGGGCCCAATTGCATTTCTGCCATCATCTTGCTGAACTATTAAAAGCTGTGTTACAATAAATTTACTTTCCCCCATCCGTTTGGTTGCAGTATACAACCACGCAACAAACAAAGACATGGACAGAAGCGAACAAACACACACCTCTCTGATATCCTGCACATCCGACCTACTTGTAGTAGGCTGGCCCAGTTTTATGATCAATACTCGCATTGGCTCACTGTCTCAGTTACTCTGGCTCCCTACTGAAAATTACCCGGTTTATTCTGCAAATCCCAGATTGGTAGTTACTCAACTTATTCCGCCAGGCCCTAACTGAAAGTTACTCAATTTACTCTGCTATTCCCTGAGTGGTAGCTACTCAATTTACTCTGCCCGCTCTGACTGGAAGTTCTCACAGTGTCCTTGACTGGAATATATAGGTACTCGCAGTCCTTGCAGTCGGTCCCTGGCTGGAATTTAGTTGACTAGATATTACTTACTTATTTGGCACCGACATCAAAGTGAGTTCCCACTGGTAGCACTAACCCCCGGGTACTGGAGCAGACTGAGTCGGTGAGCTGCCATCTGCCGGAGCTTCCTAGATATTCTAAACCAACAGTTTGTTTGCTCAGCGGCAACGGAATACCCTAGTTTAACTCAACTTCTAACTGACCAATATAATTCTACTATTCACCATAAATCATGGATAAATTTTATACACTGTTAAAGGGAAAATCCAAATAGTTCTTATGTCCTGGGCGTCTATGGTCCTTGTGACTCGTCCTAATTTTATTCACGACTATCGCACCAGGGATAGACTTTGAACATGGCGGCGCACACCGTACCTTGCGAGTAGGAATAACCCAGGTAATCTGTACAATGTTTAATTAACTCTGAACAATTTTTCTGTCTTCAACTACAGAATATTTAACCATTGGTTACTTCCCGCTGCACTTCTGTATATATTCATGACATTCTGTCCGATTTTGAATGCACATGGATCCAAAATGTCTGCGCCCAGGACGGTGTAAACTTTTCTCCCTGCGGAGGAAAAGAAGTTAGCACTCTAGCACAGTGTATTTATGTTGTAGCTCCATGGTTTGCCATCATCTGCTCACCCCCACATGCCCAACATCACCAGTGGAAGGCATTCCATATGTGATCTGTCCTGCGCACCCAGTTGACCCGGACCGTGAAGTACCCTCTATGGGTTTATTACTGAAAAGCGTAATGCATCGCTATAAAATGTACCATCACGCTAAGGACGTCTTGGACCAGGACTATAATCTTCCTTGAACAGAAACTAAAAGATTATTTACTCATCTACAAGTTCTCCCTCACGCAAGACAAACCTACGTACACAATGGCTGAAACTCATTCACTACAATATACTTGCACCATGTAACATTCAGTACAAATTACTACATATATTTACAAATGGACCACTAGGCCTCTTTACACAAAAACCAGTAAACCTTGACTGAACTCAATTCCACGATGGACAAAAACATTTCATTTCAGCCATTTTTATAAAATGAGTGTCAGTCATTATGCAATGGCCTGTATACCAGAAAAAAATTTAACAGGCCCCATTTTCAACCCAGGACAAGATTTTCAACCTGGCGCTCAAGATCTCTCCCTGATCTTAAGCAGGGCTAAGTTCAACCTGGGCAAAATGAATCTAACGGGCGAATCTGGGTTGGTCCTGGGTTGAAAATTCTCCAGTGTAAAGTGCAGCATGTTTCACCTAACATCACCTCTCGAGATTTTTTCTAGTGTGAAAAGACCAATTTATATCACAGAGTTTCAAACTGACGTTCCCTCAAAATAGTACTATGATTGTAGACCTACATGTATACGTGTACATGTTTATGGTAAAATGTAACAATCATGATTTGTAGGGTCCCATACGAACATGTTCAGACTAAGATCTTACCAGCACCACATCGATTACACTGCTGCCTACGAGAGAAGTTCACGTTGCCACATCTGAAAGAAAAACAACAAATATACCCAACAAGAAATGAGACAAATGAATGCAATGCCTACATGTATGTGAGTAGCAGTGTGACATGCCCACATGTAAGGCTGTGGATGGATCTCTTTTGAAATTTGTCTCTTTTCTGTCGCTATCACAGCCCTACTTCAAGCCTTGGCAGGGCTTTAATGCCTGAAATCCAAACTGCAGGATTGTCACAAACTTTGAATCCTAACAATACCTTCTGAAATGAGAATGACTCAACAATTTTACTTACACTGTTCACATTCCTCAGAGTTTGGACTTTCATACGAGCACCCTAAAGCTTTCCCAAACCGTATATTTTCCAATGTATGGTGCCTTGAAAAACCCGGCCAGTGGTATTGATATGCTGACCGCGGATGTCGCTTTTAACGAAGGCAACGCTTCGTGCATTGGACGTTATGCTTTGAACTGAAGAAGCCAGCCATGGCAAGTAGCAAAAAAGTGCTAGGCCTAGGGCCTACACCATTGCAATGATTTGTACACAAACTAAACATCTGACATGTCTCAACAGGCAGCATGCAACATGTACCATTTAGCATTGCTAAATGCTACACAGTCATGACAGTACTAGCATGGAGGAATAAAACACATTCCTCCATGGTAGGCCCTACTACTAGTAAGTCTGGTACTAAAGGGTGAAAAGGAAGGGGTCATCATGGCAAAGACTTGAGAGAGCAAAATCATGTGCGCCACCATCATGACTATTGATTTGTGGTGGGAAGATTTGATTGAGAATATAGAATTTTTTTTCAGACTTAAGTGTAGGCCTACGCCTACACAGCCCCATACTTAAGGATGGAGCGGGAGTGAGAGTACTACGTGCCACACTAGCGGGGCTTAAAGGCCAACCCTGATTTGTCACACATGTAGCTGGGCAGCGTCACGAACCCGGTACCCATAACTTCGGCTTCAGTCACACCATGGAGGAAGGACCTTCCGCCATGCAGAGCATGCAGAAAGAGCCGAGTGTGCATGTCAGAGACTTGGTTTCTGCAAGTACCTATTTATCCTATCTCTAAATGTAAAAGTATTCTCTAAACGTTTCTGGCTTACAAATGGACAACACTTAATCTCTTTTTCATATCGATACTCAAGGAATAAGCAAATCTTCAGCTTACTTGGGATCGGAACAGACCCAATCACCCTCGTTGCTAGAGTGTCTGCGCGACATCTTGAATTGCTTGGTTGGTATGCCGCCATTCGTTATTCGAATTCGTACATAGTGCTGTGGGTTGGTGCTGGACACCAGTGCAAATTGTACACGCCACACGGGCCATTTCCTAAAACCTGGCTTCGGCCATGGTCTACGCTGGACCGTTACCTATTTTAACGACGCATCTGGCCCCATCCGTTGGTTTACTTATTTTGTTTTCAAGGGGCTCTGATATACTTTCCTTTTCGTACAATACACTGATTCCTAAATAATCATTTTATTTCTTCATTTAAAATCTGTACATCATTTTTATGGGGATAGCACAACCGACACGCTTTCGTATTGCCTTATGGAAATTTCAATTAATGGACCACATTTCTTCACTCCGGTTAAACCCCATGGCTAATCAAACTATATGATTAACTTTTTAAAATTAAGTGACATGAACCTGGCAAAAAGAGCCCCCAGTTATAATAACTAAATAATGAAATCGAATTATTTGGGAAGAACAAAAATTTCAGTCTTCACAATCCGCCTTATTTTTTCTGACAATGGAAAAGTGGGGGCAAAATTCAACAGAACACCCCTGGACAAAAAGTGTGCGGGCGTGGCATACGTAGTGTGGACCTCTCTGCACAAAAGAAATCCACGTGGTGGTGGCGGGGGAGGGGGCATATACAGCCCCTTTCCTCAGGTATGCCAAATGATTTGTCAATATATGTGTCAGTTATCTACATGTATCACCATCCCGGATCCACCGTTGAGTGCACTGGTCTACGAAAGAGTAATAAGCTTGCACAGTGATCCAAAGTAATGAAACACTGGCTTATACACGCTAAATACGTCTGCAACCATGGAGGAAGGCTGCCAGTGCAACCTAGCAAAAGGGCTTATTAATCCAACTGCATGCATTGTTGAGCGGGGAAAATGCTTAGAGGAATCAATGGTGGCCTAACACCCACAAAAACTACGATGTGAATCACAATGACGCTTTTATGCTACGATCTGTGTGCACTTGACTTTTTACCTTGAATTTCATCCAGAGTACAATTTCTAAACTGCAGTTAACTTTCGTATCAGTTTCAGACCATAACAGGACCGATGGCCATGATTCAATTAATCGGCAGTTGTATTATAATAGTAAGCTTTAATCGACAAGTGCACAAAAACGCTGAAAATGCCATAATCATTACCGTAGCAATTCATGATAAATCATACCAACCCGTATTATTATGACCTGGAAGCGAAGATCAATTAATGTAAACTTAATTCTTGCCACAAGTTAAAACTGATGCAAATTCTTGCAAGTCCTGCAGTTCACAAGACATGGTCATAATTATATTCTACAATGAATGCCAACAGCCACACAGGCTACTATCGACCTGGATAAACAATCAATAAAGCAATAAATAATCCGTAGTTTGACAGTTGTAATATACATCAGTAACAATTTATATACGTCCGTGTAGAAATGAGATTTTAACCTCAATTCAATGTTACACCTCGACTTTCAATGGCACAGTCTGTTCCTAATCTAGGTTTACCACCTTTAAACTCCGGATTTTAAACTTGTCTTGTTAATTTGACTCAATGACTCCTCGGTAATTTGTTTTGTCCTTTTTATGATGTCTGCATTGGTCATGTAAAGGACAACATCGGGAGGTCGTTTAACTTTGAAGTTATACCTCTAAGATGTTTTGGTTCTTACCTGCAAGTCTCTATAAAATTGTTCGTTACGTTTACGTTGGGCTATGCGCTAGTAAGCAGAAGCACGGAGAAAGAAAGATGTCTTCTTCCTTCCTCCATGACTTAACATTTGGGTTTCACACCGCAGCTCACATTAATGAAGGGTTTTCTTGCTGTGTCTGATGTTGATTACTTGTTCCGCCTTTGTTATCATCTTTGTGTGAATCTAATACAAAAGATTTCCAAGTTAAGCCGATTCCATGAGCGTACATCCTGGGGGATAGGCGTACATATACCCCCTCTGACTTTTGAGGTGGGAAAGGGCTATTACCCCCCCCCATATACACACACGCTTTTTGTGATGAGCAAAACATTTAAGCGGATTGTGAGGAATTTTAGGATTTCCAAACGACTAAAATATTTGCAATACCACTAAAAAGTGTAAACAATTTTATCAAGCCATAAATATGTTACTCTGATATAAGATTCTACATGAACAGATGTACGTCTCTATTATGAAATCGCCCCTATAGTATATGATGTAGCCCCCCCCCCATTTCCATGGCCAGGCAAGTCATCCCCTCCCCCACTTTTCCCCAGACCCCCCCCCATCCCACTCCCCAAATTTCCAGCACAGTTATATATGCCACTGGCAGGTTCAATCCACATATATACTCAGGAAGATGCACTGTGGGCCTATCCGTTTGTAGTTGCATTTTGTACAGTGATTTTGGACCTAAAAAAAATTGGAAAGTCCCATAGTTCACCAAGAATAGATGTCATTTTACAATTAATGCAACCGACTCCATGTAATACGAGCTCGGACAGGGCTAGATTACGGGGTGATCATGAGATCTAATAAAAAACATTTGTATTAATTTGGTAATAAAAATGATTCAAATAAAACACAAAATCTTATAAACAACCTGGCTATTTATTCCCAAAATAAGTCCAGAAGAAAGTGTTTGATAAGGGCAATAACTGCACATGGACACTTCGGGTACACAGCCTAATAAAAGCAACTGCGCAAGCATTAAATTTGATGTTGTCAAATCATACCAAGCACCAACGATGCATGAATATTGAACTTCATATACATGTACGTATATACTGCAGTACACAACGTTTCAAGGATACAGATTACCAGCGAAAAATTGCGGCGATGATCATTTGCACCAGGCACAAAATGGGACATAGGGGTACCCCCCCCCCAAGTCCAATCCCTATAAACACTCTAGCCTATTGTTACTTAACACATCCCCCTAGGTGTCTGAAAAGAATTCCTGAGGTATCAGTATAACAAGGACCGGCACAAGGGGGGGGGTGCTCTCTGTCCCATAATTGGCTTCACAATGATGATCATGGGGTACAAAGAGCCGGGGCTTATGGTTGTGAAACAGGTGCTGCGTAGCAAGCATTCGCCGCGCTCTGATAATGGACATACCGGCCATGACAGAAAGCGGTAATTGGCCAGATGGTAAAGCCCGGGCAGTTCAAACTCCCGTGTGATTTTTCCTCCATAGTATAAACGACCCTTCACGAATAAATTCTAATTGGGGGAGCGGGTTAGCGTGGCGGTTCTTTCCTCGCTTTGCACCAATGAAGTCCGGGTTCGAGTCCCCGCTTGGCCCAGGCTTTAAGTGCATTTGGTTTCCAGTCCATACTCGCTCTCGCAGGTTTTCTCCGGGTACTCCGGTTTCCTCCTGCCTCTAAAAATGGACCTTCTTCCTAACTCCGTAATGTGATGCTGATTAATAAAGTGTATGAATAAACGTACAGTTATTGGCGCAAATAGCCTGAGTTGCTGAAAGCGCCAATAAAACAAAATAACAACAATTTATGTGCGCATGCACATAAATGGATGTGGAGGCAAAAAGCTTTAGAGGCCCATTGAAAATGTACAGGGGCACAAAAATTTCAACGTCATTTTCTGGTGGCTTCTGCACTTTTGTCTTCGGAAAACCCTCTTGCGCTTTATTGGCGGAAGGTCTGTTGATACCCGTAATCGCTGGGGTCGTAACTGTTGCCAAGTACAAGTGTATTACCTCAGTAAAAGACGGTGCCCCAAAATCCTTGAATACAGGCTAACAAGTCTGAAGTGCAGTTCCAGGGTTTCCCACCACTTAGATCTTTCACTGATGCGATGTGTAACGTGGCGCTTATGTAAAGATGCACTCTTTAATTTACACTTTCCTATCTGAAGACTTCAAGAAGGCAAGATACCTTCGAAAGCTCTGTAGTGCAATCCAGTATATATTGTCAAAAGGTGAAGTACGAATATTTTTTCAAAGTTTGTTTTTACGAAGTATATTTTATTCCAATTTCCTTACTTACAAAGTGCATTCTTTCAACTTCGTTTTTACGAGATATATTTTTCCAAGTTCGTTTTAAGAGTTATTTTTAGTTCGATTTTATGATTTTTATTAAAGTCTGTTTAGTGAAAATAAATCAAAACCTGAAAATGTATATCTCCTAAAGAGACATCTCTATAAAGCGATTTGTTACCAAAAATAGAAACGATGTTTTTAAACATAAAACTCATAAGAAGGAACTAGACAATGTCTGCATCAAACAAACGAACTTTGATCTGCTAAAAACGAACTTCGAAAATATCTACTTTTTGAAAATGTAGGGTGTCCAAAAGGAAATCTAGATAAATTTGTTTGTTTCTTGAATGTGAATACTTATTTTGATAAATGGTAACGATCATCTGCTTTATTATGATGTTTAATGGACCAAGTCAGAAATGGCCTGGCACCAAATAGCTGTTTCGGTGTTGAATTCATGCTTTCAAGAGATGCGATGAGTTTGCGATGAAAGGCATAGGTGGCATTCTGAAGGACACTGGGCTTATGTTGCAGGCTTACGGCAAAAAAGCCCCTGACTGTGGTTGTCTTAGAATAATTTTGGTAGTGTACTTAATGCTTCAAGCTGTGCAAACCTGTGATGCATCTGGTGCAAAGCCAAAACCACTTTGTGCTCAGTCATGTGTGACAGAGATATATATTTCTTGGTGTCGTACAAAATAGAACATCATAATGAAACATATCATACTTACCATTTGCAAAATGATTATTAGTTACATTCAAGAAACACAAATTTATCACGGCTTCCTTTGTTTAAAGACAGCCTGAATACATTTGACGGCACTGCAGGGCCTTTGTAGATACCAGCTTCAACGTTGGCATTAAAATCAGTCCCGATTCCACGGCGTGCATATCGCATTGTGGTCTTTGACACCCACTTGGAGTCGCGGGAAACTGTTAAGCTACAGCCAAGCATCGGACACGTACATCGACCATTGGGCCGTCACAACCC